TAAGGAATATATTTTTCGGGGGCTCTTAAGCAAATAGTAAAGTTTCACCCACGTCGTGGTGCCAACACTCGTGGCTTCGTGCGAGGCCTCTGGCCGCACGCAGCAGGGCTGGCTTTTCCTGATCCGGCATACGATCACGAATTAATAGCAATAATAGTAATAATAGTAATAATAGTAGTAATAGTAATAATAGTAGTAATAGTAGTAATAGTAGTAATAGTAGTAATAGTAATAATAGTAATAATAGTAGTAAGTCAACCAAGCCATCGATGATCCAGGTGTCTCGTTTTGATGTTCATGCCGTGCCGTCGGCAAAGGTAAAATTGCCGGGCTGGTGCGGGGCACAGTGCCAGAGTGAGCCTGTGGATGTGAACGGCTGAGTGGAGTTTACGCAGCACACCTTAATGATAGTACCAGCGCATTCTTCCAGTTAGAAGTGCCGCGCTAGCCTTGCTGGCGACAAGCTTGTCGTGGAATCAGAACCACGGACAGAGATGGCTTCAGGTGGCTGCACCACTACAAAGTTTGTTCAGCAACTTAAGATATGTCCGAGGCATAAACCGGGTCTCCGTGCTCTCATAAGGCCACTGAGGCCACTCTTTAGGGCCCCAAAAAAGCACATAAGCAAAAATCAGGATAGGGACATCCCATATAAACCCCCTTATAAGTCCCTAACTCTTGGTGAGATCCCTTATGGTAACCCTTTAAAGGAACCCCACAAAACAGTATAGGCACTTATACTTGGTGCAGCCTGGAAAGACCTCTTTGTTTTCACAGGCAGAGACCACCAAAGTCGGACCCTCTTGGGCCTTGGTGGGCTCCTCTGGGCTTCGGAGTACCATACTTTACGGGAGCCATTTCATAATCTTATTACTGTTATTACTATTTAGTATTCCTATTGCTATTATTATTGTTCTTACTATTCGTATGATTATGATTATATTTTTTCTCCCTGGTTACTTAAAAGCCCAGTTCTGGAGGCTGGAGGCCACCTGAGGTTTCAACACCGAATACCCGCACCACGTCTTGGCGAAGAACTCCGTCTGGCTTGTGTCGCTGCGTTCTACCAGTTACCCGTGGCAGTGGGCAAGAACTCTATCGCTTCAACAAGTGCTTCCTAGGGTATAGTCCCTATATAAGCCTTTATATCACCCCTATATAGTCCCTACATAAAAGGCTTAACCTTTAGTTCCTCATGATACCCGACAAGTACGGCTTAGACCATGGAGGCGCTTTGGGATTGGAGCTAAGCCAGGAGGGACCCTTAATGGGGACCCCTACCCTATAATAGGGCTATATAGTGGGTATATAGTAGCTATATTCAGGCTATATACCTAGGGTGCCTTATTAAGGGTCCCTCCTTTTACCCTTGGATTAAAGGTTCATGGGACTTAGTAAACATGGTCGGAGGTCGGTTTAGGTATTGTAGGGTTTAGGGTTCCGGGTATAGGGTTTAGGATTTTATGGTTTAGGGGTTTAGGGCTTAGGGCTTAGGTACTTAAAGGTTCATGGGACTTAGTAACTATGGTTATAAATAAGGTAACTATACTTATAATTGGGTATAACCCCAGTTGGGTACTTATAACTGTACTTACTAAGTTACTAAGTCCCATGATCCTTTAAGTAGGATGTAGTCCTAGGTTCCTTATAAAGTTACCAAACACCAAAAAGGGAGCCCTTTTCATTTCTAGGGTACTGGGCATCCTAGGCCAAGTATGCTGATTCTTGCAATAGCACTGCTTCTCGTCCACAGTTGCAACAGAAAGCCCTGTGTGTGAGTTGCTTGGGATGAAGCCCGGGGTGGCAAGGCCACACTGAAGCCCACTACTATAGGGGCCTAAATAATCACCTTTGCTATTTAGGGGTTCCTCATTATACTTATAGTATAGTGGGCCTCGAAACCCTATTCTAATTACCAAGGCCCCTACATTATCACCAGGGCGCCAGTATCCAAGTGCACTGGATGTCTACATAGGCTCTCCCGCGTAAACTTGTACCAAAGTAAGGGCTGACAAAGACAACATCCTGCAGCACCCAAGAAAGGCTCGAACAGATACTGCTACCATTTCCCAGACTTCCTGAATTGTACTCTGCAATCTACCCCAACACCCTATCCTAACTATTGTTGCTACTACTCTGCGTAGTAGGATTTTCTGTGAGTCGTGTCATTGCCATTGCTCTTCTTCTCATTAGTAAATATTGGTAGAATCATTATGAAAGCTTGGGTGCCGCCAGCGCTCAGTAACAGTTAGATAAGATTCATAATATAGAGATATAAGGACCTTAAATGTAGCCTTACTAAAAACTGCTGCTGTATGGGGGCCGTACTCAAATTAGAGCCCCTTTTTTGAGCCGATGAACCCTTGAACCGGCTGCCAAATGGGATCATCCCTGGCTGCAAAGCCCGAGCCGTTTGGGCGCCACGTCTGCCTCCTTGGATGTAAGCATTACCTGTGGCCCGAAAAACGGACCAGACTAAGGCTAGACGTAATATATGAGTGAAAGAAATCAGATGGAGGAGCCTTAAAGCAGTAGGTTTGGGGCCAACAGGTATGGGATGCGCAGATGATGGGCCCCGTGGCGAATTCAGCACTTCACAGACTTTCGTTTTGTCATGGCCGCAGCAAACTCAGTGTCTCCGGGCCGTTGCCGCAGAATACAGAGGCCAAAGCTGTTAGACAGGGTCCTGCGATGCTTGACTACCGAAGATATACGGACGGTATATCACGAATCATGTTGTCAAGTGTTGAAGCTCCAAACCAAAGCTGAAGGCAAGTCCACGGCCACTTGGATGACTTCACAAGCTTTAAAACACATCTCGGCATGTCAGGGTGGATCTGAAATGCTACCCCTGGATGTGCCTCAGAATGCGAAGGTGCCAAGGAAAATCCTTGCTGAGCACCGCATGTGTAGAGAAAAGTTCTTTGGAGGCCAGCCGCAACATGAGTCTTGAAGTTCCACATGGGTGCCCTAAAAATTATAGGTGCCGTATTATATTAAGGACCCCCAAAGGGACCCTAATTTCGACAGCCACCCATATACCTGCCTGAATCGCCGTGTTTGAGGTTCTGGGGTCCGGGCGAGAGATTTACCGGTCGTACACTCTTGTACAGTATAGTATTTCATGATGTATTACCGCACAGTCTTGTATGCTCCAGTATGTGACAGTGCTCTAGTTTTTTATTGCACATGACCGTGATTTTCTAGCAGGTCATAGCATAATATAGAAATATAGGGGCCTTGATAATCAGAATAGGGTATTGGGGCCCATTGTACTACAATTCGAATAAGGAACCCCCAAAATAGTCGTGGTAATTATTTAGGCCCTCTATACTAAATCCTTACAATAGCCCTAAAAAGTAATCCTTACAGACCCCTTTAAAAGGAACGCTTAAAACCACTGGTAACTATCTAGGTGACACTTGGGGAAACCTTTTTAATTTCCCTTATGTGGTGGTACCTATTCATAAATACTTGTAAGGGCCCCAAAAGTACAACCCAGTTATTTAGGCCACTCAGGGAGGCCTCCGAGGAAGCTGCGCAAAGAGGTTTCCACGGATGCGCGTCAAGGCTCCCAAAAAATCAGCTCCTGGGAACAGCGTTGTATAATAAAAGCTTGACAAAAATCTCGCAACGCTCTTTTGTAGGGTTCCTTCATATGAGCGTACTATGTCTATATTGAGAACAAGCCTCAAAGCCCCATTATTATCCTGCTTATCAAGGCCCCTGTATTACGACAACACCACATGGCAAGCTTGTGCATCCAGTGGTCAATGATAGAACTAGGTCTGAACGGGCATCACTGCCATTTCTATATGGAATGATGTTCTATCTCATACTTCCGCCCTCTGGACGTAAAATAGGGGCCATACTAATTGGAACAGGATCTGGGGGTCTATAATATTATAAGTATAATAATTATTAAGGCCTCTACATTAAGGTGCTGATGATAATGACGATGATTGAACCTGAAACAACTTGAAGCCCTGAACACGAAACCCCAGAGGGTCGAGACCACACTTCCGTTTGTCTCTCGAGGATCTGCTGATTCCTGTATCCTTTGGATCTTACCACCTGACTAGTAGTAGTAGTAGTAGTAGTAGTAGTAGTAGTAGTAGTAGTAGTAGTAGTGGTAGTAGTGGTAGTGGTCGTGGTGGTGGTGGTGGTGGTGGTGGTGGTCGTGGTGGTCGTGGTGGTGGTGGTGGTGGTCGTGGTGGTGGTCGTGGTGGTGCTGGTGGTGCTGGTGGTGCTGGTGGTGCTGGTGGTGCTGGTGGTGCTGGTGGTGGTGGTAGCGGTAGTGGTAGTGGTAGCAGCAGCAGTCGTCGTAGTAGTAGTAGTAGTAGTAGTAGTAGTACGGCAACTATACTTGCAGAATGCCTGCAGAAGCAATCGTAACCATGCCAGAGACAGGAAGGTATGTGCGCATTTGTTCTGGCCAGCAGTTTTCACGCACACACACACACACACACACACACACACACACACACACACGCACGCACGCACGCACGCACACACGCAACTATGCACACAAAAAGTCTTGGTAGTACTGCAGTGAGGTATATATGCACCCGGCCGCCCAATCTGCAATCCTTAAACTGGCTTAGTTTACAAGGTGTATGACGAATACCTGAAGAAATGGCCCGGAACTCGCCGTCATCACTGGCACTGCCCTAAACTCTTTGCCCTTGGAACACGAAGTCCGTTAATCTGAACTCCTGGAAACTTTCAAATCCGAAAATCCCAAACCCCTATCCCTTGAGCCCAAAAGCCAAGGGTTTACGACAAAGGGAACCGTAAACCCGAGGGGTCAGGGTGTAGGGCCCCTTGGGGGGTCGGGCTGTGACTTAAAGGATGAGGAGATACTAAAAACTTTCAAATCCAAACCTTTAAAACCCCAAACCCCGAAACCCTAAGTCCTAAACCTATATAAAACACCATGAAAAGTCCTTTCACACCCTTCAGACCCTAAAGCGTACAAGCCCTGAAACCTTGTAGTACAGGTGAACACGAAAAAGCCCTTCGCTGGTTCGAGCCCTGGACTCAGCGTCCGAAATTTGGGATTTCGACAAAGGAATCCTGCTTTTTCATCATAACTCTAGCATAACGGTATAACGTCAATACAGTAGAATGCACCATGGTAGGATCTTAAGTATCATATTGCAACTTGCAACTGCCTGGAGTATATGATGCGACTGTACATGATGTTACGGCATATCATGTTATATGGTGTTATATGACAATATACTTTACCAAACTTTCCTATGACAATATACTTTACCAAACTTTCCTATACTGCGTTATGTTACGTTCTACTGCATACTACTGTACTACACTGCTATTTAACTAGTGTATGCTGCGCTGTTTCTTATGATACCGTATCATATTATATTGTCATATGTACATATGTGTGTGAAAGTATGTACATTTCTTTGCTGATACACATCGCAGTGCCGTGGCATACGTTGTTTTGGCTCTCTGTACTTTCATGCCCTCGTGTGCTTGGTTTGGTTACGAAGTGATGTGTGTGTGTGTGTGTTTTCATTCGTTTGTTCCTAGCTCTTGGTTTCTCGGGTGAATCTGAAACTTGAGAGCTTGTGGGGTATAGCTGGGGGATCAGTGCAAGTACCTTAAACGGTGTTAGAAGTATGTCCAACCAAACTTACCGCGTTTATAGCCCTGTTTACTTAGTCCCCTGAGCGTTCACAATCAAGGGGCCCGCGAATGTTTTTGCTTCACTCTTGACCCCGAGTATTGACACTTCTTTTGTGTTGTTTCGTGGTTCATTCTCCATGCTTCTCACTCTCCGTTTCTCTAAGGGCTTCAAAGTTCGCCTGCTATAGCCCTCTTTTGCCAGGAGGGTTTCTTAATCAGGTGTCTGCATCACTTGATATTCAGTATGATCAAAATCATATTATAATATCTCCCAGAACCCCGGTCAAAATGTACAATGTCTTACATGACATGCACGTGAAGCCCGGCTTCCCCGCCTTCCCCCCGACTATCCGAGGGTTCGAGTCTGGATTACCAGGGCCCGGACAAGATTCTTCGCTCGGAGCAAATCTTTGGAGAATGCGGGCTATTCCGTAGGTCTCCTTGTCTTTCTTGTAATATAACGTACCCTTATCCCTTAAACTCGGTCAAAAATGAAGGGTCTTCTGGTGTCTGGAAAATAGCCTGTATAGGGCTGGGATACCATTGTGATTGTGATTGTTGTTCTGATGAATCTGATGTTTACTTGCACTATTGATTGATACTTTTTTTTTACTGTAGCTTTAGCTCACGAGTGTTCTCAACAGCATTGTCGTTTTTCTGTCTATTGCCTCTAGCACCGTTTCTGCTGCTGCTGCTAGTACACTACTACTATACTACTATACTACTACTACTACTGCTACTACTGCTACTACTACCACTACCACTACTACCGCTACCATCACCACGACTGCTGCTACTACTACTGCTGCTGCTACCGGTACTAACACTAGGACGGGCCCGCCTTTCGCCATCGCGGAAGGGTTAGCCATTTTGGAAACGACCTGGGTTTCTGCAGAAACGTGTTTCGGGAAAACTTTGCGCAGGAGGGCAATTAACAGTATCTAGAATACACTCCAAGGGGTATACCCATAATATAGCCATTATATACCCATTATATAGCCCATTATAGGGTAGGGGTCCCCATTAAGGGTCCTGATACACAACAAACGCATGTGTCTTTCAGCGCTTCCACAGGGCACGAGTCAGGTAGCTTTCAGGTGATGTTTCGCTCGGGAGACACATCAGCACCCTGAACTTGTGTCGCTAGGCAAAACAAAATGCCCAGTTGAACTTCGCTGACGTGCTGTTTTTGGTTTGGGGGTTTGTTCTTCCGAACGGAAAATCCTCGCAGTGACAAAGCAGTGGCAGCAGGAGTGGCAAAAGCGGACATACAGCAGCAAAAGCGGCAGAAGCGGAACTAGACTAGCAGCTGCAGCAGCACCAGAAGCAAGGAGTCGTAAGGTAGTGCAATGCGACCAAGACCCTATCACCCACCGCATATATGAGGATATTTCCGGGGTTCAGGCCTCCAGATGTCTCTGGGCAGGCGTTCAGAAGGCAAGAGATCGTACAAGACGCACGAGCAGCCTCCCTCCCCCAAGACGCGAAAACAGCGACAGGCGCGAGATGTTCGGCAATGGTCCCCCCCTTTCCGCCACAGCAAAAGAACAAGTGAACTCGGGTCGAGCATCATTCCAGAAATCCAGAGTCACAAGGTCTTGCCACGCACGAAACGGCCAGTCGGGAAAGTCCCGTACATACCAGCCATTTCGCACCGTAAATGCCAGCATTTTCGAGCCTGAAGACCCTTCCCGTCAGAAACAAAAATTGGCTTCGTGGATGGACCCCAGTGACCAAAAAATCTGATGAAGGAGAAAAGTGTGGGCAGAGACAGCGAAAACGACGAAAATATCGAGGAATTTGGTCTTGCGCAATCAAATGGGCGGCGCACCCAAGCAATGCGAACGTGCAGAGAATGTTGGAAATATCGAACATTTCTCTGCAGTTACGTTGTACCAGAACGAGAAGAAGATTGCAGTGGCATTGTAAATACCGACAACTTTGCACGTCTAGAAGCAAACGGATGTTCTTAACACACCCCACCCACCCCGCCCTTCCCCGTTGAGCCTCGGCCGGACGGAAAGTGCAACACCTTCCGCAGTGGCGAAAGGCAGCGCTGCCTAAAACTACTACTACTGTTACTGCAACTATTGCTTCGACGACTATCACTAATACCACTACTGTTGATTTTATTCTCAACAGCACCACCGTTATCAGTGTTGGTAAAGTTTTTGTTTACTGCTCATAGTGAATACCAGTGCCGTTTCCATGATTCTTCAGTATCTGTAGGTGACCACCATTGCTACTAAGACTGCCACTGCTATACAGGATCATCACTTTTTTCAGTTCTGTCTCTGTAAATTTGACTTCCAAGCCCCAAACCCCTTTCCACCACAAGCCCTGAAGCAGTAAGCCCTAAAGCCCTACATGCTCACCCGTAAAGCCTTAACCTTAAACCGCGAAGACTAAACTCCCTTCATCATCACTGGGGTCTCAGGCTTCAATAATACTAATACTAATACTAATGCTAATACTAATACTAATACTAATACTAGTACTAATACTAATACTACTATTACAATATGAATACTAATATTAATGCTAATACTAATACTATTATTCTAAAAGATTAATACTAGTGCTAATGCAACCCTAAGCCCCGGCTCGAGGTTTCTGCGGGCTTCAGGCGGCCACATCTCGGGAGCTGACCTGAGTGCCGCCGTGCAAAGCGCAGCTGCACGTTGGGGCCTCGAGTGTACTATACTGGGCTTTGAAGTACCATACTTTAATACTTTTTTTCTTAAAGGAACCCTTATGAAATACGAGTTTATACTTTTTTCTCCTGTGTTACTTAAAAGCCCAGTATAGGGGCCTGAATAACTACCTATACTACTTGGGGGGGTTCCTTATGATATTTATGGTATAGTGGGCCCCAAAACCCTATTCAAACTATAAAGGCCCCTATATTAGGGCTTTAGTTTTTTTGGCTTTAGAGCTAAGCTTCGAGAACTGGTTTGGGCTTGGGGGGGTCGGGGCTTGGTTTTCGGGTCGGAGTTCCGCACATCTGCGGGTTTTTCTGGAGCGAGTACACTGTAGGAGCTGCGTGCGTTGACATGGAGGCAGGTAAGTTTGTACAGTCGTCGTGCTCATGCTGCAAAACTCGTGCTTGGCTACAGAAGCGGACATGTGCGTAGATGGGTATGTATGTACGTATATGCATGCAGGTTGTAGGGTGCGGCATGCATACGCGTATGTATTTACGAACGTATGTATGTATGTATGTACATGTGCATGTATTATGTGTATGGGTATGTAGGTAGGTAACGGAATGTAATGCGACACAGTGCTATGTTATGCTATGTTCTTTAGCCTATGTAACTATTGCGTCAATGTACTTTTGCGTTGACATAGGCATCATGCATGCAAGCAGAAAGACCGACAGGCAATAGCAACTTACATTTCAGTCTATAGAGCAAGCCTCACGTTGACCAAGACTCATGCTGGTAGGAAGAGGCCCCTTTCTGTCCTCCCCCAGCAGCCTTTCGACATGAGGCTTGTTCAAGAGGAAGCTGTTTGGCCTGAGCCCAGACTGCCCCACCCCCAATACTAGGGCCTTAAGAATTAGAATAGGGCGTAGGAGTACATTATACTATACTTATAAAAGTATAGGTAATTATCTAGGCCCCTATATTACCGTCCCAAGAATCTCGCAGAGCAAGTTCATAAGACTACTAAAGGGGACCGTTGAAGAAGCCTTAGTACTCATATGATTTCTTCAGAACTTCCGGTTTGCAGAGCACTTGCATTGAGTGTCGAACCATCAACACCTCTGGCATGTTCAACTAGTTGAGGTAGAAGTTGAGTATACAAATCGACCGAGTGCTTATTCTGTGCATGGTAAGAATGAAAATCTAGAGCGCAACCAAAGAAATCCGGCATGCACCTATGATATTACGCATATGGAGAATAAATGCATGTGCACAGTTGCGATGGCATGACCACGTGTAGCCGTTGACTTCAGCATGGTGGACGAATTAAAGCTTCGCCAAACCCCGCAGCACTAAACCCTGGCCCTAGAGCCTCAACGGGCCGCCCTGAGAGTGTCGTGCCAGAGGCGGGGAGCCTCAGGAGGCAGTCCCGAGCCTCAGCTTTTCGGGAGGGTTGCCAGACGTTCTTCGCAAAGCGCCAGAGACTTTGAGATGCGTGCCCCAAATTGCGGATGATGATCGAAGCCGCGCAATGACTCCGAATTCTCTCTGCCCTTTGTATTTCCTCGGAAAGGCTTCTTGGATGCAGGAAGCCCAGGCGAAGGGCTTGTCCGTCAAGGCAGGATCCTGCATCTTGCGCTACTTGAGGCTTTCAGTTTCGATCTGCTCCTCGGATGGAAGCAAAGAGCAGAACTCGAGAAGCATGCAGATAAGAAACCCTATATTATACTATTTTATACCATTATTATTATAGTATTATATTGTTATATTATACTACTTTATACCGTTATTATTATATTATTATATTGTTATATTATTATAGTAGTATAGCTCCCAAGCTTGATCTGCTGTTCAGGTACGTGCCTTCGCGGCAGTTGCTAAGGCTTACGCTGCCAAGGGGAGGCCAGCCCCTCACCGAGCGTTTTCTTGCATCAGAATGGCAGAATCCTTCTCATAAGAGTTTGGGGAAGTGATCAGTGGCTCACATGGTTTTCCTATACTCTCTATATATATATATATATATATATATATATATATGTATATGTATATATAGCGATATGTAGGTATATATTATCCGTAGTTTCAGGAAAGCCTCCATGTGGAGGCTTCCGTGGGCTTGTTGTGGTGAACAGACTTGAAGCCTGCATTCGGGAAATCTTAAGAAAGCGGCCTGAAGGCCCATGTTGGAATTGCTCATACAACGTCGATGTGGATGTGCGGGTATGTGTATATATATATATATGTATATATATATATATATATATATATATATATATATATATATATATTATGTGTTCGTTTATGTGTTTGCTTATGTGTATATATATACATGTATTTATACATACATACATACATATGCACATGTACATTACTTGAATATGTGTATTCATGTTTTCCTATGTTGCATAATTGTTGTGCTAGCTGCTCATACGCTTCGTACAAACTGGTCTACATACTCGTTCGGTGTATACTTACCTGTTTTCATCTGCACGCATGGCTTGTGCATAGTTTCATATGGCTATATGAAAGTTATAAGGTGTCTACGAGTCGGACCGAGCAAAGCATGGCAAACCATGCCAAGCCCAGCAGACCTTGGTAACAAAAGATGCCCTCGAACAGAACACCCTCTCGTGCATATCATTTAAAGGGAACTCCAGAAAGTTGGAATATGGTTTCAGGGTAGGATACCTTATAATTTACCATAAAGGGTTTAGGAAAATCATATTCCAACTTTCTGGCTTTTCCTTTATCCGCATGGTATAACTCCCCTTCCCCAACCCGGGCCCTTCCCGCAAGCTGCTTCAGGCCTCAACCAAGCCTCAACTGTAGCCTAAAGAAGCCCCCTTCCATGGGGCCGGGGGGGAGGGGGGGGCGAGCAGCGCAGAGCCGCACATGTATACATGTATATGCACATAGATACATAGATACATGTATACATATATACATACATCCACTTGTTTAGGTTATATCTATATCACGCGTGTTTGCTTATGTACTACATAGCACAGCGTATACTTCTATCTAGCGGTGTCACGGTGAGTTCCGAAACAAGGCTGATTCTTGCAGCCCGCACTTTAACGCAGATGCGCCAAGCAGGCCCCCCTGACTGCTGTCGGGTTTCGGGTCTATGGTTTAGAAGTAGGGCGATTCCGTAAAGCTTGGGTGAGGAACATCAAGAACTTGCATCTGTCAAAGGCATTCTGGCATCCCCCACACAACTCTAGCATAAGCCCAAATCCCAAAACCGGGCCGGGGGTTTACGGTTTAGGAGACACTGGGCGAGCTCAGAGAGCATCGTCGAGGCCAGAGCACCCACTTTGGAGTTCAGGGTTTAGCTTTAGAAACCCTGAACCCAAGGTCTAAAACAAGGTTCAAAAGTCTGCGACGACCTGAGTTCACACAAATAGGGGGTTTCGGGAACCTACCTGGAACATAGCTAACCAGCATATGCAGTTTGGCAACTCAGGTTTTATGCATATGTTCATGAACCTTGTTTGCATAAATGAAATGCTGTGCAGGTCTATTCTCTTGCATGGCCAAGGTACACGCCTTGGCCATAGTGCCACCATCCAGAACGAATTTGTCGAGCGTCCATAGCTTTGCATGTATCTTTTTGTGTGTGTGTGGGTGTGTCTGTGTCTGTGTCTGTGTCTGTGTGTCTGTGTGTGTGTGTGTGTCTGTGTCTGTGTCTGTGTCTGTGTGTGTGTGTGTGTCTGTTTGTGTGTGTCTGTGTGTGTGTGTCTGTGTGTGTGTGTGTCTGTGTGTGTGTGTATGTGTCTGTGTGTGTGTGTGTGTCTGTGTGTGTCTGTGTGTGTGTCTGTCTGTGTGTGTGTGTGTGTGTGTCTGTGTGTGTGTCTGTGTGTGTGTGTGTGTGTGTGTGTCTGTGTGTGTGTGTGTGTGTGTGTGTGTGTGTGTGTGTGTGTGTGTGTGTGTGTGTGTGTGTGTGTGTGTGTGTGTGGTCTGTGTGTGTGTGTCTGTGTGTGTGTGTCTGTGTGTGGTGTCTGTGTGTGGTGTCTGTTGTGGTGTCTGTGTGTGTGTCTGTGTGTGTGTCGTGTGTGTGTCTGTGTGTGGTGTCTGTGTGTGTGTCTGTGTGTGTGTCTGTGTGTGGTGTCTGTGTGTGGTGTCTGTGTGTGTGTCTGTGTGTGTGTGTGTGTGTCTGTGTGTGTGTGTCTGTGTGTGTGTGTGTGTGTCTGTGTGTGTGTGTGTGTGTGTCTGTGTGTGTGTGTGTGTGTGTGGTGTGTGTGTGTGTGTGTGTGTGTGTGTGTGTCTGTGTGTGTGTGTGTGTGTGTGCTGTGTGTGTGTGGTGTGTGTGTGTGTGTGTGTGTGTGTGTGTGTGTGTGTGTGTGTGTGTGTGTGTGTGTGTGTGTGTGTCTGTGTGTGTGTGTGTCTGTGTGTGTGTGTGGTGTGTGTGTGTGTGTGTGTGTGTGTGTGTGTGTGTGTGTGTGTGTGTGTGTGTGTGTGTGTGTGTGTGTGTGTGTGTGTGTGTGTGTGTGTGTGTGTTGTGTCTGTGTGTGTGTGTGTGTGTGTCTGTGTGTGTGTGTGTGTGTCTGTGTGTGTGTCTGTGTCTGTGTGTGTTGTGTGTGTGTGTGTGTGTCTGTGTGTGTGTGTGTGTGTCTGTGTGTGTGTGTGTGTGTGTGTGTGTGTGTGTGTGTGTGTGTGTGTGTGTGTGTGTGTGTGTGTGTGTGTGTGTGTGTGTGTGTGTGTGTGTGTGTCTGTGTCTGTGTGTCTGTGTGTGTGTGTGTGTGCGTGCGAGCGAGCGAGCGAGCGAGCGAGCGTGCGCGCGTGCGCGCGTGCGCGTGTGCCTGCAAACTCAACCAGAAACGATGGCGCGAAAGCCCCACATCCTGAACCCCCGAAAGGCAAAGACCTTGAACCTTCAGCCCCAAATTCAAAGTCGCTGAACCCTAATCTTGCACTTATGGCTCAATATTCAAAGTTCCCAACGCCCCAAAGCCAAAGTTTAAACCCAGAGCCAAAAGCTCCACCAGCAAAGAACAGAGCCGAAAAGAAGGCCACAGGGTGACGGCCTCCACCTGGGCCACCCTCCTCGCGGCCTTGGCTGCCGGCCCAAAACGGTGCGCGGGGGGGCGCCGTTTTCGAAGGTTTAGGGTTTAGGGGTTTCGGGTTAGGGTCTTGAGGGTTTCGTATAGAAGCTGCAGGGTTTTGGGATTCATTCTTGGTTGTTTCTGGCAGGTTTTAGGATCATCTTGAGGTTTGAGACAGGGGCGTCGCCAACTCTACCGGTTCTGCTCCGGAGCTGTCGTTCGTCGTTCACACCTTCTCGAACTTGAAGCGGCAGGCCAGGTAAGAGTCTGTCGAAGACAACAAAACCCAGGTCTTCGCCCCAGGTTCCCAACCTTCGCAACAGGACCCTGCCGCTCTGCGGCATGTCGGAAAAGCAGAGCATCAGACGGTCCAAATCCACTCACCAGAACCAGAAAGAGTGCGCTAAACAAGCGTCGACTACTACTACCACGACTACCACTACTACTACTACTACTGCTACTACTACTACTACTTCTTCTTCTTTCTGCGTGAATCCCCGAGAGCTTTAACGGCTCCCTGCTCTGGCGCCAGGCCTGGAGAGGCCAAAGGGTTTGGGGGGGGATCCGGGCCAAGTCTTGAGAAACCTTACGGGAGGATTTGCGCGCTTTAGGGTTTAGGGTTCTTGAGTGGGAAAATCTTGCCTAGGAAGTTTCAGGTTGGACCTGCCGTCGCAGTGGAAAGTATGTTTTTAGTGGAGGCGATGCTGAAAGTGAGCATGCCTGCTCTTCGAATTGTCATGACTCGAATCATGAACGAAGCCACGGTCAAGGCCATCGTCACAAACAAGATAATTGGTGCTGACGATGATGGTGACACTGACAATGGCCACCATCACAGCAATCTTCCTCGTCCCTGTCGCCCTTGTCATGGCTTATGCTGGCTGCTGGAATGTTCTGTCGTTGCCGGTCCCCCTTTTCCGGCTGTTGCCGTTGTCAGTCGTCCTTCTGCAGATTTCAGTTGCTCCTTGCTTTTTGTTCGGGTGTCGTCGTTGTTCAGGTTGCTTGTCCGTGCTGCTCACTGGATCTTGTATGTGTGTCATGCTTGCTGTGTGTTGCATGTTGTTCGTCGTTTGCTGTGGACGGTATACTTGGCCGTTAGCTGTGATGGGTGGGAGTAGTGGCTGTTGCCGGTGTTATTTATCTTACTGTTCGTTTGGTTGGTCATTTTTGTTATGTGCGGTATCTGATTATCACTGTCGTCGTCGTCGATGTTCTGCTGTTGCTGCTTCGGTCTGTACTTCTTGTCGTACATGTTGTGCGTCATGACTTGTCCTTGTTTCCATTTTGCGTTGTTGTTGTGCTTAAGCTGTATGACGGATGATGCTGCCCACAGTCCCCGGGGGTTTTGCTTTTTGTCGCTGCATTCCTGACTACAAACGTGAGCATACACTTAGAGATACATACACTTTCTGTGCATGTACACATACGTACATGCATACAAAGATAGGACTGCAACAACTCCCTCCGATTCAACGGCGTAGCAGGCCGAGCTGCTTTTGCGGCAGATGGCTGGCATTGACGTCGCCATTCCAGGCCTGCTGGCGACGGTGTCTTACTCGACGTAACCACTCCTCTTAGGGGTACTTAGAAATATCTTTTAATTTTGGTTATTATAATCCCTAAGAAACAACTAAAATTGTAATTTTTGCTAGGGTTCTAAGTTCAGTATCGTCCTGTGCCTTTGCGAAGGGCGATTTGCTTTCGACTGCCTGCGGCGAGCTTTGGGCCGGAGACCTGGTCAAGTGCGGTTTACTTTTTAGGGAACCTTAAGACTAGGATGCCCAGTAGTACCCTTATTCCCTTTTTTGTAGTCCTAGGTTCCTTATAAAGTTACCCAATACCAAAAAGAGAGGCCTTTTATTCTTAGGTTACTGGGTATCCTAGAAGAGCTAGACTAGGGTTTCACAGGGGTTCTTTAAAGGGGTTACTATAAGGGTTCTGTATGGGGACCGTAATAGTTAGTGCTAAACGACCACATCACAAGGCCATTCTGCCCACTCACCACCCAAGCTGCACAGCCACTTCAAGGCCGCCAGGCGGCATGCAGACACGCACCCGGACAACGGGCTCCTAAGGGCCTCGGTTCACTCTTACACAGTTGGAACAGGGTTTCGGAGTATAACTTAATATGATTCTAATAAGGAACCCCTCAAAAAGTATAGTTCATTCTATAATATCTACTATAATTCGAAGACCGAACCCCCCCAGCGTCACCACAAGGCGCGAGACGTCTCCGCCTTCTTCGCCAAGCCCTCTTCGTTGGGGTAGGCCGGCTCTGCTTTTTTCCTTGAGTAAGAATAACCAAGAAACTTTAATGGTAAAAAATATATAGTGATAATAATCAACTAACAATAATAATAGTAAAACAGTAATATAGTAACAGTAGTATAGCAGCATAACAGTAATAGAGAGATTGACAAAAGTGACACTAACAGTACTCTCCGCCCGTTAAATTAAACCCTTCCTTGAGCTGCACGAAACCGGTGCTTGCGTGCTACGCCTGAAGCATAGAGCGCCAGGACCATCACCGGCTGTCGAGGAGGTCGCATGCTGGTCTGCGGTTTCGGGCTTAGGATCCAGGGGTGACGTCCTTGGTTATGCTGGGCATATCCTGCCTGGCTCACGCAATCTTATCAGCGACACGATCTTACGAGCAGGACATGGGCGACGCTTGCTGGGACTCTCTGCAGAAGTTGTGGCAAGGTCATCTCGACGGAGGAGACTTAGTGGCTGCGAAAGCCAGGGTGCAGGTTCAGTTCGGCTGTGTAAGGTGGACTGTCTTTTCCCCGCATGTCACAATGGTGCTTTGGATGGCTTTGTAGCGGGATCACGGACTAAGAGGTATTGTCAGAATTGCGTGAAGTCAGAAGCCATGCTAGCATGAGCAGGATGAGGGCGTGGTGGCAGCAGCTGCTGGCTGTGCAGAGCTCACTCGCTGATGTTGAGACTAGTCGGAAGATAGCAGACTTGGCACACTGTTCATTCAACAGCACTGCTACTTGTCCATTCGCACTTGACGTAGTGACCACCCCTAGGATCACAAAATGCGCTTTCTCAGCAACATGAGTTTGAGTGTCCTGCCGCCCGAGAACGTGCAAGGATCCACTATATGACTGTAGTCTTGAAGTTTGCAGCGGCTGACAACCTTTCACGCTGCACCTTTGCAGAAATCAGTTTAAAAACCATGTATGTAGCCTTTGCAGGGTCCCTCACTCCGTCAGCTATGCCAAGCATTTTCATGAACTTCGTGGAAATGAGTTGCAGTGTTTCGTTTTGGGTTCAACATTGTGCATCGCACTTTGCGGCTGTAGAGTCGCTATTATCTCGCCATTTTTGTTTTTCTCTCTCTCTCTATCTCTCTCTCTCCCTCTCCCTCTCCTGCTCGCAGCGCACATGCGTGAGAACGGAATGTGTAAAATTGCTCGACGGGTACTTCGAGTCCCACTGCCATTTGCTGTTGGGGGCATGCATTTTGCAGACCTTGGAAGTAGGGAGCACGCGACTGTATGATTTTGCACTCGACTTCAAGTCCTTGTCCCGTGTCTGTAGAGTCGAAGACAGTCAGAGCAACCAGAGTCATAACCTGACTCCACATGTATGCAAGATTCTGCATCCTGAAAGTACCGGGTGCGCAAACAGGTTTCCAGACTTCCGCGTCTTTCGACATGCACAAGGGTTTGGCAAAGGGTAGACGGAGTCGGATGCCAAGTCGTGTTTGATTGCGGGGTCATGTTGTTCACGCCTTACTCGTCCTTGTTTCTTTTCATCACCACTGCATCCTCCGAGGAAGACGTCCTGGGCCTCTACACTTTTCGTATGGAAGTGGTGATGATGGATGTCGTCCCTGGTTCGAGAAGGGACCGTGGAAGTCTGGCTGCGTGCACGATTTTGAATATGGGCTTGAGACAAGACGCATCGGAGCACCTTCAGGAGCCAAGCAGACTTCACTCGCAAGTACACACAGATCATCAGTGCAGCCCTTTCTCTGGTGGCTGAGTCGGCACATCGCTGCTCCTTCGAGCTCGACGGCCCCGGAATCCATGAGGCGAATGCAGTGCTCGTTCCGCTCTGGATTTTCTTGTCCGTTCCATTGCCGCAAGGCGGGGCCCCGACACAAATCCGAGCTTCCCAAAATCTCCCTTGTGAGGGAGTCAATGGTTGCTACTGGGATCCTCATGGTGAAAGAGGCTCCAAGCCTTCTGGGGAGTTTGTGGTTTTGGATGTTGTTAAGCCCTCGCCTCCACTAAGTCAACTCCCAGATGAGAGGCACACGTGACCAGCCGCCGGCAGAGCCCTTGGAAGAGGAGGTATCAAGGCACAAAGCACGACATCTACGGGAGTCTTGACCCTCTGCATCTTGGCAATTTTTTGAAATGGCTCCAGCCTACCATTGCTCCAGGTTTCTCGAGGTCCGGGCGCATCCACCGATCAAAAGCCCGATAAACTCGCCAAAAGAGCCTGCTGACCCACGTGCACGTTTTCTTCGAAAAGTCCCACTGCTTGCGCCTCCATGTTTGGATTTTGGTTGAAATGTGAGTTTGTCACTGAGGCTGTCGTTATGTTGCACTGGACTCTCTTGTAGCCGCTAGGAAAGTTGGAAATGATATCGCAATACAACCGTTTCTTACCTTCGTTAATTGGTTGCTGTTGGATGCGGGGCTGCCAACGCAAGTAACCCCTAAAGAAACTATGGTAGAATATGCCTTTCAAGCCCTGGCTGCCTGTTCTACCAAAGCAATTGTAAGCAGCGTAAACCAAAGCCAGAACCTAGAGCACATCGCCGCAAGCCGCCGGCTGTCATGCGCATCGTTTGCGCCACATTGCGAAATGCCGAACTAAGAGCTTCTCATGAGCAAGGTTCAGTAGCATGTAGTCGTCGCTTCGCTACACCATCGCGAGCAACACAACAGAGTCACACAGGCTCATAGCAAGCTGCCAGAACATCATAACAACATCGGTTGCCGCTTCGTACTGCAATCCGTGGAGCCGGCACATTGAGCAAATGGCTTGCAAGCCGCGTGGCAGGCTCGGCGACCTGAATGCCCGGACCGACCTGAAACTGAGAGCTGCTTGTACGGTTGTTTTTTGTCCAAGTCGCTGTGGAGCAGGGTGCTTCATCTGCCGCTGGCGCTTCTGATGTTCGCCGCGCTGCTGCGCTGCAGGCGCTACATCCGTAGTGGGTAATGGCGTGATGTTGATGTCAGCGAAAGCCATGGTGAAGACGAAGTCGATGATGATGGCGACGGTTATCTTGCGAAGCTTCAGAAACAACGACTTTCGTTCTTGTCTTCGCCTTTGTAGTCCGCGTTGCATTCTCTGTTCAGCATGGTGGCCAGTAGTATGCACGGCGAAATCGAACGAATAGGTGGCGTGTAGCTTCAAGCTTGTCGTAGTATCGTAGCTACAAATAAGTGTGCTGTTTCCTGCGTTGGGCCACTACTTATCAGTTTCCACCGTGCGAAAAAAGCCAACAGGCAGCTGCCCTTTGTGTGGCCTCAAGCACCGCACCTGCGAGCTGGCAGACGCTTTGCCAGAAATGGGCAGAGTTGGACAATTTTGGGCCGTTTGCAGGCGTTGATCTGAAAACATGCCATCTAGAGATGCTCTGCCGAGAGGACGACATTGCAAAGGGGGAGTGTTTGCTCGGCTGAGGTACACCAGTGGCCCGGTTTGGCGTGGCGACCTCCGCCAAGCCCAAAGCTCCTGTTGAGGAGGTGGACACGCAACGTGCTCGTCTGCAAATATTTGCATGTAAAGATGTCATATATATATATATATGTATGTATATGTACTCATACATGCATATATATATATAGATACATACATACCTACATACATACATACATACGTACATATGCACACAGATGTCTATATATATATATATATATGTAGGCATGTGAAATGAGCAGGGGTAAACATATCTTGTTCTTCCTTTCTATGTGTTTATTTGTTTATATGTGTACATCTGTCTAGTCAAGCGTTTGTTTGCTGATGTTTACCAAAGGTGTACATGCATGTTCCTGTCCCTATCCACGATTAAAGTAGCTGCATGGCTTACGGGTTGTGTGTTTCGCCAAGTTCCTTTGCAGGGCCTAAGGCAGCCTAGACCTGACATAAGTCTTGCCAGGCTTCTTGACAAAGGGAACACAATGCCTTTCATCGTTTGTATCGGCAGAATCAAACCTCGGTCGAAATGTGCGCAATGCTGTTTTCAAACGAGGATGGAAGTCCGTACTTTTTGGAATCTGATGTGCTCCATGTTGAAAGAAACACTGCGAGTTTCAGTACTCCCGAAACCAAAAACCATCAAACCCCACGCCCCGAAACCCAACTTCCGAAGTTGTTGGGTCCTTCAGGGCGCAAAAGCCTCTGGGCCCAACTGTGCAGGCCATCGATCCGACGGCGTACCGAGAGAATCGCATCAAGCAGCTTAAGGAGGTGGGTTCAGCTGAGGTGTTCGGGATTTACGATTTACAGGTTCGAGCTGTTCCAGGATTCAGCATTTGGGCCTTGGGGGTTTGGGTGTCAGAGCTTTGAGATTTAGGATACAGGGTTTGGGGTTTACTTGTGTCGGCTGTAGTGTTGGGGCGTCTCCTTGCCTAGTCCCCTCACCCGCCTTCGTTTCACAAGGGTGGTTGTCAAAATTAGGATCCCTTTCTGGATCCTTAAAATAGTACGGCACCTATTATTTAGGATACCATAATTTTCACAACTACCCACAAGGCTGGAGTGGAAGCGTATCCACATTCCTGGGACGTCGATGCCACAGTTTCGGAGCTCATCAAGAAGTTCAGTGACCTCGAGGACGGCGAGCGTCGAGACGAGGTGTGGAGGATATGGGGGCCTAAATAACTACCCATACTATTTTGGGGTGTCCTGATTTTTATATTTATAGTTTAATGCACCCAAAACCCTATTCTAATTATTAGGGCCCCTACATTCAAAAGCTTCAGCATATAATTGTCCGACCACTCAAATCTGTTTTTTGGTTTCGGGTTTCAGGGTTTATGGATTCCCAGACTGCAAGGTGGAGTTCCGAGTTGCTGGTCGCGTGCTCCCGATGCTCACTTGGTAGTTTTTGATCTTTGGGTATTTTCCAGCTGCTGTAAAAAGCTTGCCTTGCAGTTTGCGCGGTTGTCCATGTTGTAGTCGAGCGAACTTCGTAGCTAGCACATCACCTTTCAATACTACTGTAAGCACCCTAACCCTCAGTGCACGGACCTGCTTCGGAACCGTCCAGCCCAGGTGAAGAGCCTCAGGTCATCAGGCGCCAAGCTGAAATTTTACGACCTCGTGGAGGGCGGTGAGCGCATACAGGTGCGAAGCGGTGTCGGGGCTCCAAACGCGTTACATGTAGACCTTAAATCACACAGAGAGTAGTTTAAGCTAGTTTCCCTTTTTTTCGGGCTTTTGAGTATCTCTTGGCAAGGTGATGTGCAGCCCGCAGATGCACGAGGGCTCTGATTTCAAGGAGGCCCATGCCAATATTCATCGCGGAGCGACTCACCCGCGCCGAGATCTTGGAGGTTAGGTGTACTGCACAGGTCGGTATAATTAGCACTAGTACCCCTTTGTCGTCCGCATCTAATTGTAGCATAATGTGTGCCAGTATCCTGTTCCATGCAATGGAGGCCCCCCGAGGATTGTGAAAGTCGAGCATCAGGTGAGCCAGGCTACAGTGCTTGGCAGTATAGGCACATATATCATACATATACAGATACATATATATATATATACATACATATGTACATGTACGTGCATGCACATGTGCGTGTGTGCGTATATACATACATACCTACCTACCTACATACCTACATACTTACATGCCTATATACAGGTATATGTGCACACATATGTGTGAATTCACTCGGCGGGCATACAGGCAAGCATCAATCTCGACACATACCTACAGACAGAAAGAGAGGGTTGTTCAAGTTATTTGAGCTTTCATGGTGCTGTTTTTGTATTTGGCTTAGTTTGGTGTCTTCTGCTGGCGACCAAGCAAAGGTTCAAGCATAGTAATCGGTGCAGACGACGAGCAATGATGTGACATACGCTTAGGCTACTTCTGTTCCCTGGAACCTTCAACGAAATCTAATCCATACCTCCAGCAATTCCGAACTCCTGAGCCCTCGGTACCTTCATCCCCCGCGAAACCCGGGATCCGCCGAAAACGCTTCGTATAACTCATGTAATGCACCTACAATCACTCATTTTCTGAGATCAGAATTTGAATAGTAGCCCATTTATAGACTAATCCTGCATGGGGTCAGTACCCAGAACATACTGACTCTAAGCAGATCCCTATCCCCGGCCTCCCAGGATGTTTTGGGCGTGCGGGGTGTCATTGGCAAGTCCAAGCGCGGGGAGCTTTCGCTTTTTCCTAAGGAGGCTCCAGAGCCTGGGAAGCTCAGGTTTTTTTTGCGAGTTTTTGGCTTCACGATTTTGGAGGTTTTCCTGGTGCTTCATCAGGATTTGAAGCAGGGTTGGATTAGCAAAGTGAGTCTTTCGATTTCAGAGTGAGTTCAGAGGGTTTGCAGGACGCCTGCTTCTCTAGAGTCCCAAGATGCCTTGCCAGGAGAGTGAAACATGTTGCTTATCTGCCCGATTCCGTTCTGCCTTTGGCAACATCCTGTGCCGGGCACTTGCTCAGTCATGATCGGAAGAAGCCTTCGACTTTCCCATCGGTTTAAGTAATGGCGTCGTTGGAGTGTGTCATTTGCCAGGTGAAGCTTTTGTCCCCATGCCTGCACATGCTCCCAAAGGACTACTCAGGCCATGCTTTCAGCAGAAGCTTCTGGATGCATGGGATGGTGTTCTATCGTGCTAAGCCTGTCTGTCAGGCTTGAAGGATCAGGAGACTAGGTATCGAAAGCGCTGCTTGGGTCGCATAGCAGTCCAGATCCCAAGTAGCTCGTACCCACAGAAGCACGCACCGCCATGTGTCAATTCTTTTTCCCAAACCAACCGTCACAGTGAGAGACCTTTCCGTAACCTCCCCGCTCAGGATACCTGGACCTTATGATCAATGACGACGTAAGAACAACCTTCTTGATGCGATCTTCCATTACCAACTTCATCCGGCAGTTCCTCCAGGAGCATATCGCTGTGGCACACCAATCTAACCAATCCAGCCTTTCGAAACAGCAAGCACCCTGAACACCCTGAAAGCTAAGCTTTGAGTTGAGCTGGCCTAATCCTGCTGCCATTGCTGAGGAGACTTAACTTTCGGTGCTGGAGATAATTGGTGATAGCTGGTGAATCCCGTCGACGTGTCGCAACCCGCCTCAGCCTTAATGGCATTCCAGCTGCATTACCATGCGGACGGACTAGATGTATCAAACAATGGCCCTGGAGAACCAGACATGTAACAATGTGGTTGATATGGAGTGGAGATCAGCGGTGCCGCTACCCTAAACTGCAAGGTCTAGGCCAAAGACAATCCTCGGTCAGCCTGTGGCAAACCAACGTGGAAGGGCAACCATCATGACCAAAATACGCATCGCGGCCGGTGGTCTTATGCGTGGCCAGGACCGAGGATTTCTTGAGGTGGAGACCCCGATGATGATGCTTGGCACAAGCCCAAATCAGCATTCCATGCGCATCTTCCTTTCTTGTTGAAGTCTGTTGCACATATTTATTCATATATGTATATATGTACATACAGAAATACATACACAGCTACACGTATATAATGAGAGGTATCAGCATTAGGTCATGCAAGGGGGCATAGCAATCAGAGTCGTGTTGAATTACGTGGCCAAGAAGAAGAACTCGCAGTATAGGATAAGTACATACCGAGACAGGATACACGCATTATGTGTATATAGGCTTAGGGGTGGACATAGACACAGGTTCCTGTATATGCACGCATATACATTTGCAGACGTACATGTAAGCAGCAAGAAGACGAGCATCAACAATCACTACAACAAGATGTTGGAGAGTAGGTGCTACTGTTGTCCAAACTCCTCCTAGCTGGCCAAGTCCTCCAGGTCTAATGCTAGTGCTATCAGGCTCGTCATCAGCTTGAAAAAGGAATCCTTGACGGTCTTGTCCGAGGAATGCAATCCCGGGTGGTGCTTCGGCCAAGCCTTTCATCACCAGACATAACGAGTTGAATATGGACTTGCCACTTGGCGCAAGACATTGCCTGTGTGTTGCCAGTCTCAGACCTGCTTGCCGAGCCAGTGCTGATTGTAAGGATGTCTTCCGCTGCGGATTGTAATTGCTGTTTGGGTTCTCCTCTTGTTCAGATGGTGTGCTTCAGTCTGACACGCATCTGGACTGTAGACACAGCGCGGAACACAGCAATCACGGTGGGTTGGACAAGGTACATGAGAGTTGCTCCGGAGCTGTACCTGAAGATGCTGCTGAGCATGCAAAGGAAGAGTTTTCGACGTTAATAGGATTTTACTTGGCCATGTTGTTCCTGCTTGCGCTGCAACAGGATGTCGATGCAGCGCAGTCTGAGGCTAGTGATTGGTGGCTTAGATCGGGTTTTCGAGATTGGCCGCAACTTCCGTGTCTCGGAGAAGCAACTATCGGCTTCCTTCGACAGCGCTTCATCGACCTTCTTGGAGCGAAAATCAACCGGTGCAGCACACTAGATCTGTGCAGCATATCTCTGCGAAAAGAGCCGAGGCAACGAGGGGATTGATCTGACTCACAATCCTGAGCCCCTCGATGGAAAAGAACTATCTACCAGGATTTTACCCATGCGATGTTCGTAACGTGGAAGAAGAGCCCAGTCGTTTGGTGGCCCAAGCTGCTCTCGACCAAGGTTCACTTCATGCGAGTTTTACATGGCTTATGCAGACTACGAGCAGCTGATGACCATGACGGAGGCTGGCCCACGAGTCTCATTTCGCGCCTTTAACATGGGTTGGGCCGGGCTGCACCGCAGTCCCAAGAAAGACAGTCTGGTTTGGGGATGGATGCTTGTCTGCAGCATCTACACAGCCCTGGGTCGGGGTAAGTTGCTTTATCCCTGCCTCATTTCCAGCGCTTTTGTTCAAATATGGGAGTTTCCGAAAATTAGGGGTTACCTTGTTTTGGGGTCCTTATAATAAGGATCCTCCTAGTTATAAGGTACTAGATTAGGGTCCCCCATTTTCGGAAACTCCCGTACATGTCGGAACACCGGGAGTCGGTTGCCCGACAGCAAGTCGCAGGAGCTCATCAGCTCAATGGTGCGAGAGCTCACCGGGAGTTATGTGCCTCTTGGGCTGACCCTATATACGAGCCCCGAAAAGGAACTACTTTGGGGTCTTTGGGTGTATGTTTCAGGGAGAAGAGGTGGAGACTCGAACAACGTAATTTGGACGATATACGAATTCATCGACTGCAGATCACCGGACACCAGCTTACGGGTAGTCTCGCGCTGATACCCTGCTATCCTTTCGCACCAGCATGACTGCAGATTTGTTGCCACTGCCCAGGCTTGCCTACCATCCGCATGGCCCGGAGAAAGAATCAGTTGCTCGGCCCTACACAGATCATGATAGGGCCTGGATCGGTATGGAACTTAGGGTTTAGATTGTAAGTCGCTACCAGCTACATGCTTCTGACTCAGGTTGAGATTGACTTCACGCCCCCATGGCCGCGGGTGTCTTTGGTGGAAGAGCGCCTTCGCGACATCGGGGCTGTTAGCACCGGTGTAAGTTTTAGTTTCGGTAGCACCATGATACGTAGAAGCTTCCCGCGCCTGAGCTGCCCAGACCAAGGATCGAGAAGCAAGCTGGGGTGAAGCTCCCCAGAAACTTCGAGGACGAGTCAGCTCGCAAGGTCAGGAAAGAAGCCTTTACAGCTCACTCGGCGATTCTTCTCAACGTACATAGAAATTTGCTATTATAAACCGCAGAGTATGATTGAAGAGGCCTTGGATGACTTGGCGAGCTCTCTTCACATCGACTGCCCGGCACCTCGGACGACGCCACGGCTGCTGGATAAGCAACACAGCTGCAAAGTTGATACACCCGGACATTATGGACATCATACCGCATCGTGAGTAGTGTAGACACCGTTGGCATGAAGTTGTCGCTTCCTTGGTTTCCGAGGCTTTGTGGCCACTTCATAGAGGACCGCATTGTGAATCCCACTTTCATCACTGAGCATCCACAGGCAGACTCTACAAATAAACGGTGATATTTTCACTGGTTGGCAGTGGATTGCAAGCAGACTCGCCCTGTGCTTTTCAGGTGATGAGTCCTTTGGCCAAGTGGCACCGCAGCAAAGTTGGCCTCACAGAGCGCTTCGAGCTCTTCGTCATGGGAAAGGCAAGCCTTAGCTAAACAGGTCAGTTAGGAAAGGAGCAGCGGAGCCGGGCGCCAGGAGCTGTGCAACGCCTACACGGAGCTGAATGATCCGGAGAGGCAGCTGGCCTGTTTTCAGGCGCCTGCAAAGGGCAGAAGACATGTTCCCTCTGTTCCTCGGCTCTGCAGGACCAAGCCGAAGCCAAGGATGCCGGAGACGAGGATGAGCTCACCGGTCTTGAGTTGTTGAAATCCCAAAAGCCCTGGCTGCCCCCATGTCCCCATGGCCACACACGCTATCGTCTACGGATTCTCAATCTGAGTGAGGAATGCATGCTCCGAGGTTGAGAGGTAAACGGCATCGACCAACTCCCAATGTCCGATGTATCCCCGATCTTCTTGTCTTGGGCTACGTAACTGGATCCTGATCAGCTAGCCATTAGTGTTTCGGACATATCGAAACCTCCCCACTGGCATCAACTTTGTTGTCCAAGAAACATGTTTGATGTACAACGGATAAAGGTTTATCGTTGGGTCAACAGTTTAAGAAAGACGTCTTTGTGTTGGCGATCCAGAAAGGCGCCCCAATTTGGAGAAATACTGTCGATTATAGTGCAGGATGCTGCGGCTGAGTTACAGCATTTTATACATCGCTGCCATGCGACGTCTGGCAGGAGGCACAAAGCGTTGATCTTGGCTTCGTCACGGCGCTGGCGGGGACGATGAGTTCTGCTTTGGGTATTTCGGATCGGCTGTGTTTGTAGAGGTCGGCAGGGGCCATTGATGCTTTGGGATGGGATAGTTTCACACTTTCTATCGCGAGCGTTGTTCTTAGTTCTAACCAAGCGCTCAGAGCTCAGATTGTAGGATGGCACTAAGACCTGTACTTTGATTCCCTTTACTTGTTGATGATCTCCTGAAAGTTTTCCTGTCAACTTCTATCGGCATGTAGAGACATCTTTACCTTGGCAGCTGGTCATCGATGGTGCTTGCTTTTTTCGCAAGATGTACCTACTTGATCTTTGGACCAGCATCTGCATGGGGAAATCAAAGCAACAAGACGCCGCTGCGACGCAGGAACACGGTCTACCCCCGACAGGCGGATGGGGCTGTGGAATCGATCGCTTGGCCGCATGGCAGAACATGTTCCTTACGCGCTGAGAGTTTGCAGAAATGGAACGACAGATTTTGAGTTCACAGTGCGACGTTTGAGCCGGTTTCTATGAATTAAGATAAGTTGAATGCCCAGAACGTTCTTTCCAGATTCTCCCTCCCTCGAGCCGCCGGCCATGTTGAGGTCATGTTCCTCGCGGACAAGAACAACATCAAAGAGGCAAGTGCGAGAGATGAGTTGGTCTCCTATTGCCCAATCTCAGCATACATGGAGCCAAACTTGCAGGTGATCCTTTTTCCGGCAATGAAGCCTCTCCCCAACAGCCAGGCCGAGAACACACTCAGGTTTCAGGGATATGTCGATGTGAAAGTTTGACTCTTCTTCAAGTGCAGCAGTTTTTGAATTTCGCAGTTGAGTGAGGGATCTGCCAACACAGACAAGCACAACGAGGGAAGCGGGATGTGTTCGTTCATGGCATTCTCTGGCCTCGGCAATCCGTTTCTGTTCAATTTCTACCTCACGGCCCATCTGTTACTCGAAAGCATTTGGTTCGATGCGGTTTCCATCCAAGAAGCGTGCCTCCCAAGCAATATTACACCCTTAGCTTTGATTGATGCAGGAGGCTTCCAAAGACACTGAAGCCGTGGCGACTGAATGATTGATTCACCAAAAATTTCTGTCACTTTCTGTTAATATGATAACGTTATCCGTTTTAGTCCATCATTTTCAGATTATATCAGGAATTTCTGTTTCTTGCATTATATTAAACTAAATTCTTTCATATAATACAATACGAACGATAATTTGTATTTTATTCTTTGATAAACCAGTAGCCCGCTGGTTGCATCCGTGATTCTGTGCGTACCCCTGCCCCGTTGGAACTTGATCGTTTTCCGCATTTCTCCGCGAAAGCCTCTTGCATGGTTGTCTCGCGTGATAAAAGTCTTGGAAATTTCACTGTCACGAGCGCCTCTCTCCCGATGGAAGATCCTGAAGATTTGGGTGGCTTTTTAGGAAATCTCCCGGCGTTAAATTCTTCTAAATATTGGTTGCTTTAGGGGAACTTTCTCGCTATATTGAATTCTGCAGGCTTTAAGCGGAGGCTCCAATGCTGGACTTGTTGAATGAAACTAAGTATTAGGCGCAGATCAGAATTCATATTCGTGTTTGGGTCAGTGTCCGGGCTCGTCTCTAGGTTTGTTGTCTCTAGTTCGTGTCTGGTCGCGTCTGGTTAGAAGCTGGGTTCGTGTCCGAATGTTGGATACTGTTGAATATGAAATTCTCAAGGAATTCATAGAAAAAAAAAAAAAAATGATTTCTATTATTTAATTCATAGGAAAATCGATGGGCGTATATTTCTACATTTTTCTATTCTCTATAGTTTTCTCATTCTATCTATGTCTGTCTTCTCGATTTCGTTCTCTCTCTATGATTCTCTGTCAATATTTATTGATCTCTATTTCTGAATTTCTCTTTTTCTATGATTCTTTTTCTTTCTATATTTAATTGGCTTATATGTATTTGATTATCTGATTTGATTAAAATCGAAATCGGTTAAGTTTACCTCGTTTTTTCTTATTAAAAATGAAATTAAAGAAATTCAATCATTTCGCCTTCATATTGAATTTCTTTTTATTCTTATTATCTATCTCTCTTTCTCTATTTCTATTTGAATTTCCATATCTTTATCAATATTAATTTGAGATTCTTAAAAATCATTTCTTGATTATATTTCTTATCAAATTCTCGTTATCTTTCTCTAAAATAATAATTCTGAATATATATTTTTCAATGATAAAGAAAATAAAAATTAGACTAAATAATTATGTCATAAATTTTTTTCTTTTAAAGATCTTTTATATTCCGAAATGATGATAATATGAAATCAGTAAAAATTTCTCGGCAAATAAAATTCAAAAATAATTTGCATGAAATAAATTTGATAATATAAAATATGAAATCTTCTTATTTGAACAGTTGATTTTTTTCTATTAGAAATATTTGCGGATGATAGAATTTTTCAATTTTTCATATGAAAATATCGATCAAATTTTTTTTAAACAAATACGAAGTTTCGCGATTGGCTCAATATTCAGACTTGATGACGAATGAATGAAATTTATGATTTCTTTTGCCGGATGATAGAGGCAGTTCAAAATTCTATTAGAAAGCATGATTGATTTTGGCACGAATTTCTTATCCAAAGAGCCATACCGTCATATCATTTGATATTATAATGAGTTTCATTTGTCACCAAAAGAAAGCCTGGTGCGTTCTTTTGATGATTTTAGCGCTTCGTCTTGCTAAGAAAAATTGATAAAATCTCAGATGTAAGAAAATAGCAAAAACCCGCAATTTTTTCTCGCATATCTGGGTTTGTGATTGGTTTCGCTATTGATGCTGTCCTGGTTTTCGAGTTGTTATCGATTCTGGAAAATATGAAGCGAAGCTTCTTGGAAATTTCCAATAAAGCACGCATCTTCGGCATGCGAAAAAAAACGTTAATAATAAAGTTTTGTCGCTGCAAATTGCATTTCGTTGCTTTGATCAAAATCATGAACTTCAGCACCAGTGCGGCTGAAATATACCGTCTACCATGCATGCAGGCCGTGCCAAGCGAACAGCGCAAATACCATGCCAAGCTTGAGGCAAGCGATCGGCCAGAAATCCGTGCAAGGCATCTCCAAGAATAGGAAGAAGTGTTGCTTGCAACATGCAAATTATCTTCGGTTGCAAGCTTTGATGAGAATCATTAGATTGATATCGTTACATTGACACGTTGAATTCAAACACAGAACAACACACAGCAGTGATACACAACCAATTGGGCTGTAACATACCGCAAAAATGCGTGCACAACACAATTTTTGCTGTGGGGGACTCTGCAGTACATTGTTTTTTGCTTGCAACATCAGCACAGGGTGCACGCAAACGCGGCAAGGTTTTCCTACACGTCAACCGATATGAAGACCGACGCAAACCGCAGTTTCTACCAACCGGAATATCTTATTGACACTGTTCCCACCATCAACTCACATCAGCACCGCGCGCAACAATGGCAACAACCAACGCGCAGGAGTTTCAAATGGAATTCGCGCTTAATCTGCCTTGTTTGTGACCAGTGTGACAACGGTAATGATTAATTTATGCTTTTCTCGAGAAAGACGAAACTTATGCTGGTATTGCACCGATTGTTATTATATGTCCAAACACCTTTTGCGTATATTTTTTGAGATTTTCGTCAATGTTCTCAGTGAGTTTTGCAGATGGACGTGCTTTGTGGCCACACCAAGGTTGCAAACAACCGACGACAAAGTGCATGTTGCAAGTACAGCGCACAACGAGAATGATGACTTTAGGCTTTTGGCTCAATACAGCAAAAAAAAAACCCACAATTACGACCCCCGGTTGGCTTCAACGTGCTGTGCATCCGCCTCCCAGACGCATGCTTGCATACCCAATCCCATCCTCATCACACCAAACGCACCAGCAAAAACCATTCCAAGCCAAACGCAAGAAATCGGTGCCAGAAAGCTCATACTGAAAACAACGTGAGTACCAGCACCTTGCTTGCGGAACGCCGCAAGCCACGAAATTTTACATATCGTAACAAAAATGATGAAAAAAATAAAAAATAAAAACATGTATTCCATATGCGCGATACATCATGAAATTGCAAATGATCCTTTCTTTCATCAAAACAAAATATGATTTTTAAAATTTCTCTGTAAGTATTGCATTCATATTTTTGGACTTCAAAACATTTGGACAGTTTTGGTTGTACTCGTGCCCGCAGCAAGGAAGCACATGCCCAAATGCATTCTACTGGGCTTTGCAAATTTGCAGCATGCCGACACATCACAGAAACACATGCCCAAATGCATTTTGTTCCAATTTTAACGTGATGTTTCAGAGCTGTGTTTTCGTATTGCACCGGCTGAAAAAACAGCCTGGATGGTGTGAATATCGAATCATGTGCAATGTGGACATCATTCTGCATGGAAATGAAGGCCATTCTTCGGAAAGCAAGAACAAAATGTTTTGTTTTTCATTCGGGTTCGAAAAACCAAAAACCAAAAGTCAAACCTTTGCCCTGTAACCGACCTTGGTTGCTTTCCTTCAAAATCGGAGCAAGGCCCGAATTTTTATACTTGCCTGCAACATTGCGAATTTCAACGAAACCTAGCAATTCCAGTGTTGTGTACAGTACAAGCAATGAAGACATATGTGTAGTTTTTTTGTTTGCAAAACTGGAGCGGTGGTAATTGCAGTTTTGGTAAATCTACAGCGACAAGCCCAGCAAGAATCACATGCGCAAATGCATTTCAAAAGCTGATACATGTATTCGGAAAGCTGTCCTTGCAAAATCAAACACAATTTCGTGCTGAATCGAAACAACTAACAAAGTAATGTGTGCTTCAAATGATGCCACCTATCCGAAACCCCGCGGGCCACCAAAACCAAGGCTTGTGGCGGTGCAAGCAACCGTGTATGTGCTTATCGCTGGCCTGTAGGTGCTCGTCTGGTGGCAAGTGCCACGGACACCCAAGCAAAATTGTGATGCACTGCCGAAATTCCGGGTGCCTGCAAACTCTGCGGGCCCCCGGCGCCGGAGCCACACCGAGCCGCGTGCCACCCATCCCTCCAGGCGCTTTCTGCTTTCGTTGAGGAGCAAAGCCGACACACAATTTTTACCAAATTGGTAAAACACGTATATATTATTGAAATACTTTCGAAACCCCTTCACAACAGCCACCACAATCCTGACAATGTCCAAACTCAGAAATGGGCTTGTAGGAAGCACTAGAGAATCTCAACCTCGCCATTTGCTTCAGAAACTTCGATTGCGTCCTGGCTTGCCCCGAACGCAATCAAAGGTGTGAAAATGGCTCAAGAAACCCATGGAAGAAACACAGAAAACCATTGGAAAACGCAAAATGTTCCAAGTAACATTCAATCACTGCGGGGTCAGCAAAATCATTGTAAAAAAAAAAAACGAAATGCTGTTATTTGCAACATGATTTTATGGTATGTGGACATGCAAGCGGACGCAAGAAATTTTACATATCTTAAAAAAAATGGAAAAATTCATGCATTCCATATGCACGATACACATCGAATCATGTGCAATGTGGACATCATTCTGCATGGACATGAAGGCCATTTTGCGGAAAGAAATAATTCAAGCAAGAAAAAATGTTTTTGTTTTTCATTCGGGTTCGAAAAAACAAACAACGAAAGTCAAACCTTTGCTCTGTAACCGATTGGCTGCTTTCCTTCAAAGTCGGAGGAAGGCACCAAATTTTGTACTTGCAACATTCCGGTATTGTGTGCAACCGGCAAACACAATTATACTTGTACCATTGCGAATTTCAACGAAGACTAGCAATTCCAGTGTTGTGGCCAGTACAAGTAATGACGCCATATGTGTAGTTTTTTGTTTGCAAAACTGGACCGGGGATAAATGCAGTCTTGGTATATCTCTAGCGACAAGCCCAGCAAGAATAACATGCCCAAAAATACATTTCAAAAGCTGATACATGTGTTCGGAAAGCTGTCCTTGCAAACTCAAACAAAATTTCGTGCTCAATCGGAACAACTAGCGCAGTAATGTGTGCTTCAAATAATGCCACCTTTCCGAAACCCCGCCGGCCACCA